TTTTCTCAAGTACCTGCTGCCTCAGGCAGACACCCATTTTCATACTGCTAGCCTGTGGACCAACAGCTACGACTTACGGTTTAATGTTCAACAAATCAACAGCCAATTACCCAAGAAACACAGTCGGCAGACAAAAAGTCTGGTCCATACAGACACCAACAAACATACACGTAACACGAAACTCTTTCAGAGTTTCATAAACTTTCTCACATTCGCTAAACACATCTTCATATGAAGCAATTGTTGTGCAAGATGCAGTTTTAAAACAAACAGCAGGGTTGGTGGAATACTTTTTTACTGCGCATTCGAATAAATCATACAAAGTTACAGACTTCATCTCAAAATTTCTTTCTTCTCTGTTCATACACCCTACTTCATATTATCAGTGCGGAGCTCATGTACTTTACATGTGTATTTCAATGCTACTTGTTGGTAATGTGAAGTCATGCCTCTTGTGCTACCATCTATCATTAATAGAACAATACACTACGCCGAAGCGGCAGGGGTAACAATAGTGATGTTCACTCGGTAAAATGGTTGCCTACTATAAATCTAAGAACACGAAGGACTTCTTGCTTTGGAAGTCGCAGTTGCTCGATTCAGTACTGGTCAGCTGGAGCATCCTAATTTAAAGCAAAATATAATTAACAATAAAAGTATCTAAATCATATAACACAGTATGTCTGATTATAAGGAACAACCAAAACTTGCACGAAGTGAATATAGTGCATGCCACATACATTGAAGGCTCGAAAATTCACAGATCACTGTAATACAATATCATTGGTATATACTTACGCAATATAGAATCCATTATAGTTTTTGTGTAGTACATAGAACCAGTACCTTCTCTTCATTACATAAAAAATAATCAAAGTATGTTAAAATAGTCACACATACCCTCTGAGTACCACTTTTTTTCTACATCAAAAGCACTGTGACTATATTTTCAAAATCCGTGGCGTAACAGCTCCAGAGAGCCAAAGCCGACTAGTTTGACTGCTGGCCTCACGTTCACATGCCTAAGCAGAGGTGAACGATCATCCAACCAGATACAGAGTGACGTGTGGTCAGCACGACGAACCCCCAGCCATTGCTAGTTTCCATGACCGGATTACGCTACTCATTGTAGCTCCCCAATTTCCTCACGATGCTGGGTTGGCACCGGTCCCATACACTGGTCGAAAGCTCATGAGAAATTTTCTTCTCCCCCGAGACTCGAACCAGCGCGCATTCCGTATCGCCGGTCCGAAGCACGATGCCTCAGACCGCGCGGCTACGGCGCGGAACATATTTACAAAACTGGATACAAGTAACTTATCTTATTAGAGATGCCACATCTTAAAAACAGACCTTTCAAGGCATAACATACCAACTCATATTTTGTATAAGTAACTGATAAACTTTACAAAACAAGAAGTCTTCAGAAGTACATTATTTTTGCAAATAAAATTACTTGCATATAGTCAGATTAAAAAAGGGACTTTTAAACAAGGATGCCAATGAACAATAAATCACAACAAAATAAGATAAATACCTGCTTACAGTGTATTTATAAACATAAATAATACATACCAAAGTCATCTGCCAATATTCTTTGACATTTTATTGCTTGTAATTGATTGGTAAAACCCAATTCATAAAACAAAAACTGAATACAGTTTTATTACCTGTAGATAAAGACAAATTAATTTCCAATATTGATCTTGATGCATGATTTAACACATTCATACATACCATTCTTTAAGATTTGTCCCAAATAAACGGCTGCCCCGATTAACTGGAATCTACTGTGTGTGTGTACATATACCTAAGGAAGGAAAGAAATTTGCAGGCGGAGCAAATCAAGCAGCTGCAAGCAGAAAACTTTGCTGCAACACAACTAATTGAGAAGCTGAAGGCAATGAAGGATGACAAAAATCAGCAGCCTGTAGCAAAGCCAGAAACAAGCTACAAGAAATCAAGGGTTGACAATCAAGGTTGTATACCGTCCCACGCTACATTGGTGTCAGAAGTGGGATTGTCAACCATGGAGTGTGCAGTGCAAGAAATACTGGGGAGATTGCAGAGGCTGAGCAACGACCAGCAACACCTGCAGGACAATCTTGAAGACAAGATGGATGCCAGCCAGAGACAGCTTCAGGACAGCCAGAAACAGCTACGAGACCAGTTTACATGCATCCAGCAACAGCTTCAGGACAATCTTGAAGACAAGATGGATGCCAGCCAGA